CAGACAAAGGCTGAATGTACATGAACAACACACTTTCAACATACTTCTAATAGAACTATGGTGACCCTACTTCCTGGAACAAATCCAGTTACATGATTGGACACGCAATCTCTAACATAAAGTTTCTGAACACTGTATTTTAATCAGTTGGTCACATATCTGTCACTAAATTGTGTTCTCCTCCACTCCCCTCCCCAAAAAACCCTGAAACTCTGTTTTTTCGTTTTTGTTTTTTTCTGAGGAATATTAGCCCTGAGCTGCTAACATCTGTCGCCAATCTTTCTTTCTTTTTTTTTTTTGCTGAGAAAGATTAGCCCCTGAGGTAACATCTGTGCCAGTCTTCCTCTAGTTTATATGTGGGCTGCCGCCAGAGCGTGGCTGATGAGTTGTGTAGGCCCACACCCGGGATCCGAACCCACAAACCCAAGCTGCTGAAGCAGAGTGTGCCAAACTTAACCACTATGCCACCAGGCCAGCCCTGAAATCCTGTTTTATTAACTCATTTTGCACAACTAAAACCTGGCACAAGAGAGGCTATAGGACAAGGAGGTATCACCAAAAAATAAGTGACACATTAAATACCATGCTTAGTTTCAAGCCAAAGAAAATGAAGAGGTTACAAACATTTCTTGAGCAGCCATCTCATGCAAAATATTCTATCTTGGGTAATTTAAGAAAAATAATAAACCACAAGTTTGGCTCCTTACAATTCCAAGAACCTTAAACTGAGCAGAGGTTGTTTGTGATCATGACTAAAATTCTACACATTCTTACTGTAAATAGCTAACACTCAGCATCTACTCTAGAGACCATTTTCTATCTCATCACAGATTACTTTGCTCCATATAAGTTATTAAATAAAAAGGTCTTAACTCCTTAATGAAAATGATTTTAAAAGAACCACCATTTACACGTAATCACAGTTCCTTGTAGGTTCTCAAATGTTTAGTGATGGTAAGTTATCAAATTAAAGTACTTCTAGGGGCTGGCCCCGTGGCCGAGTGGTTAAGTTCGCGTGCTCCGCTGCAGGCGGTCCAGTGTTTCGTTGGTTCGAGTCCTGGGCGCGGACATGGCACTGCTCATCAGACCACGCTGAGGCAGCGTCCCACATGCCACAACTATAAGGACCCACAATGAAGAATATACAACTATGTACCAGGGGGCTTTGGGGACAAAAAGGAAAAAATAAAATCTTTAAAAAAAAAAATTAAAGTACTTCTACAAAACAGAGCCTAGCATCAGCTATAAGCCAGAGCTATCTGCTATTACCAATATTTGACATTTTGGAAATACTACTTAAAAAAAAGAATATACTTATTATCTAAACACACATAAGATGGGAATGGGGAAAACTCACATAAGATGCAGGGTTTAATTCTAGCTATTCCTGCTCATTTGTAACATATAAATTTCTATTAAGAATAGGAGGACAGCACACCATTGTAACTGCTCAATAACCGCCATGTGGCTAGTGGCTACCATGTTGGTGTAAACAAAGAACATTTCCGTCAGCACGGAAGTTCTACCAGAGACAGCACTGTTGAGCCATTAGTTCTCGATCCCCTTGTAAAAAGCCCTGTACCTCTGAAGTCCATGTCATTCAGCTAAACCACTGCTTCTCAAACTTTAATGTGAATACAAACCACCTAGGACCTTGTTAAAATGGTGATTCCTATTTAGTAGGTCATGGGTAGGACTTGACATTAGACTTTTCTAACAAACTCTCAGATGATGTCAATTCTGCTCGTCCACAGACTACGCTACGTTCTTCCCCTCCTTGTGGCTAACAATTACCAACTCTCAATCATTCTACCTCATGCTCAGACTTTTCTGAGCACACAGCTCACAGCCCTTTTCTCCATCCCAACCCCTGCCATCATCCTGGGTGATTTCAACGTCCACATAGACAATCTAAGCAACACCTAGCCATTCAGTTCCTTGATCTTCACTGATGTCTTCCATCAACCATCCAACTCCTATAACGACACCCAGACACCTTATAAGCACCTAAAATGGTTCTAACTCTGAAATCACTGTATCACACTTGGGGACCACAAATGATTGCTTTCTGAAGTAATTTCATTCTCATTCTTCAACCTTTCCAGGACCACCAGTCTATTAATTCCTCCCTGTTTCTTCTTATTTTCCCGCCTTCACTTCCCTATCTTAGATTTCTCTCTTACAAATATCCCAAGTTCCCTTATCCCTTTACTTCTTTGTGAAACCCCCTTGGCAAAATCCCAATTCTGAATTAACCAACTAAGCACTTCATGTGACATCCAGGATCCTGAACTACTGAAGGAAAAGTCACACAACCTGACTGATGGTATTGCTACATAAATTCATGATTACCAAACTCAACTGGGCCCTCCATCCAGTCTGGAAACCTTACATTTCTCTAGGCAAACTTCCTCTCCCAATCGTCGTAACTATTCTTTCAAATCTTCTCCTCTGTCCTCACATGTCCAACCCTCACGTCTCTCCCTACACCTCTCACAGAGAAAACAGACCAGATAGAAACTGTCTATCCTCCTCCTCCTCTCCTATTACAGCGGAAATGTCCTCCCATCACAGGGCTTCCTGTGCACAAGGTTCCTCTTGAGGCTGAACCCTCCTTCCTGTACCTTCAATCTCTTCTAGCCTATGGGATCCTTTCTCACAACCATTTATATATCAACTAATCCCCCCGGTCCCCCCAAAAAGGCCAACTAAATGAAAGGAGCCAATCTGAAAAGGCTACATACTACATGATTCCAACTATAAGACATTCCGGAAAAGGCAAAAGTATGGAGACAGTAAAGAGATTCTCTAATTTAATATTTCAAAACACAGTTCATGCTATATCAAACTAACAGGACAGACTGAATTATACAGTATTTACCATTTTAAGTATTAGCAAAGTAGGTAGTGAGCCATAGATAGCAAATGATCACGAAACTGTCACAAGGATCAATTCCTCTTTGCTGTACAGACTAGCGCAGTACAATTCTCAAAGACAGTCCCTGAAATACAATCCTATAAACCCCCATCATAAATTACAATCATAAAGTAGAACATATGTTTCCCGTTAGAACAATCAAATAATTGGAAGTTCTGTTTCTGACAAAGCACTCAATATCAAATCAATTCAGGCTAGATGAATACGATAAAGTCAAAATTCAATAAATATAAACTGTAATACTTTTAAATTGCAAAATTATGCTTCAAGTTCTACAATATGAGTATAAACACACTACATATGTCAATAATCCAAGGGGCCCCAAGGTGCTACAAAAGCGTACACTGAACCCAAAATTTAAATCAACTGTATCACAAATTTGAATTGTAGTAATCCCGCCAGTCACATTAAAAGAAAAGTCGTTGTGAAAAGTATGAATTTAGATCTTTCTCATTAGTAAGTTTCTCAAAGCAAAAAGGTGGTCAAAATTATTCTACTTTACGTAGTCTGCAGTAACTTTTCTCTACCACTAGATGGTACTATCAGCTTCAGAAATCTAGGGAATAAAAGGGGAGATGTCGATATTAATCATTATTGCTATCCTCAAATATCCTGCCCCAGTACGTTAATATACTTGTATTTGTCAGATCATAAGTCTCAATTCTTGGCTTACCATATATGGTCACTACAATCTTAAAGAGAATCAAATAAACACACTGTTAAAATCTGAAGTAATGAAAGGTGGGAAAGCTTACTCTTAACCTTTCACAAAGGATTTTTCAATTCAATTCTAGAATTAAGTGTGGAAAAAACCTTAAAACACTATGAAGGTTTATCAGTTGCACTTTCTCTCACCCCTCAAAAACATTGTTCTTATTATTTATCCAATCTGTTTACCTTGAAGACAAGGTTTTGCTAAAAACTAGACACATATATATATATTTCTTTTTTTTGGTGAGGAAGATCAGCCCTGAGCTAACATCTGTGCCAATCCTCCTTTATTCTGTATGTGGGATGCTGCCAGTATGGCTCAACGAGCAGTGTGTAGGTCTGTGCCGAGGACCTGAACCAGCAAACCCTGGACCACCAAAGCAGAGCCCACAAACCCAACCACTACACCACCGGGCTGGCCCCTAAAAACTGTATTTTTAACCAGCACTTTTAAAATATTTGGACTAATCTGGAGTCCCGAAGTGGAAACAATACTATTTTGTATTATAAAGCCAAGATCTGAGATCAAAAAGGGCCACGAATTTTAACATGCTAGCACCGATAATTAAGTAAATCTTCATACAGGAAACAACTTCCTAAAACAATAGGTTCAAACCAATCTAATTCTACACAACACGTTCTCAGAAGCTAACAAAAAGTTTAAAGATCTCTAATCTAAATGGAAAGATAGAACAATCTCAGATTAAATCTAAATCTTTTTAAATTGCTAGTAAAAGTATCAAAACCATCTGAAACAAGTCAGAATTCAATTTGAGAACTTTCTCATACCTTTTAAAGACCAAGTACAATTTGGCTGTCTATATATAAACATGACTAACCTGGTTTTGTAGAAAATTTAAGTGGGAAACCAACTATAAAATAATTTAAAAAGTTTATATTTTAAAACTGATTACTTCTTATGAACACGTCTGTATAAAAAAAAGTACTACAATGTGAATAAAAATTTAACAGAAAGGCTGGAGATCACAAAAGGTACTAGTCTCTCCAGTTCACATTTTCTGTATCTGACAGTTGCAAGGATCCGAACTATTACCCTTACAATCTACTAACACACTTACATGAACACAGAAATCCGTAACCACTAGCATCATTTCTTCCTAAAGATAAATATACTCTTAACGGACTCTTTACAAGAACTTTGGGGTAAAAGTTTTCCTAAAAATTCCGTAAATTTTTCACTATGTACATTAGTTTATCCTAACGCTTTTCTTAATTCTTCAAAGTTTATTTGATATTAAGATACATTTTATGGTAAAACTTAATATAGTATAATTCACTCATATTTTACTCAAATATCTTCTTGAAAATGAAAAGTGGCTGAATGACATACCTTCAGAGTTATGTGCAGTTTTCTTGTGTTTTCGGCAATAAACCCTATAGGAAATGAAGAACAAAAATTATCAAGTAAACAAACTAAACTCACTTTTCAAATCAAGAAAATGAACATTATACTTCACCCCACTCACAAGTTGGATTCTAAAAATCTTATTAAACTTCCTTTGCCATTTCTCTAAGCATTAAATTCCTTACCAAAACACCATTTATAATGATGATGAAATGCTTTGAAATGGGGAAATTTTTTATAAAAGCCTAAAGAAAGTATGACTGTTTAAAAAAACTTAGAGAAGTTAAATAATTACATGTAAATTCCTTGTGAAGGTTTCTCTCGTATTTGAGCTTTATCATGCAATGCACAGTGGTAGTGGTATGTCCTGTGACATGTTTTCACATCACAACCAATTGTTGCTCCAGGACAATGGCACAAAGAACACATCTACAGCAAAACAATAAAATAATATTATTAGTGTATGGTTTTGCTAAGGCCGTGATATCAGGTTAGAGGCATATCAATCTCTGTCAAGGAAAACAAATTGGTTATTGAAAACTTTTGTAACTAAATTATGCTATTTTTCTTGTTTTCTCACCTAGAAGCAATTCAAATAAAATTGTACTGGGGCTATTTTTTTCCCATGTTAAACACTGAAAAAAATTAATGGAATATTATTAATGTCTGTTGTTTCACTGTGGTCAAGAGAAAATTTGAAATGTTGCAAATCAGGAATGTAAGCTGTGCATAAGTTAGGCCTTGCCACAATCCAGATTTTCCCGAAAACGAGTTACTGGGGAGAATGTCTCATACCAGAAACAATTTTTCCTTCACATTTCCACTTAATCAATGAGAATCTTTGGGGAAAAACTCACATACTACTTGGGAACCTGGTAAAATCAATTTTAAGTGAGGGAAGGAGAAAGGATAAAAGAATTAGGTAGATTTTTAAATACTTCGAACTCTAACAATATTTTGTGACGTCAAGTTGATTGTGAAAATATGCTCATCTATTTTAATTTAATCTGTTACTTACCTTTTACATTATGAACTCAGGCAAACAGATAAAAGAACAGATTCTTTCAAAATATTTTAATATACCTTATCTTCTGACTTTATTGGATAATTCATATTGTTTAACTAGCTCATGCTCTGAATTTAGGAAAAAATTCTTTAGAAAAAGTATATAATGATTGTTAATGGTTTTGATTAACATATCACAGTATACTGTATTGAGCAGACTTTTAATGAGGCTTTCCCCTAGCTATAAATGCCATGCCAAAATAAGTCCACAGCAAGATAAATCTTAAAAACTGTTCATTTGTTTCTTGGTCGCTAGATACCTCATTCTGAACTATTCTCATTCTTCTTTACTAATTTTAACATAAAGAACACTTACCATCCTAACTTTTAGATTACTTCGCCCTAAGCAATTTTGGTGTCACAAGGGGCTAATAGAAATTCCAATGAAATTCCTTATATTTCTCTAAGCAAGTCAAACATTCAACCCCTCATTCAAGCTATCATTTAAAAATTACTCATAAGTCAGAAACAGAAACATTTTCAATACAGGTACTTCCCAGAAAACATGAGGGCCAGTGCCCACTATTAGTACTAGAGAAATACTCTACTTCCTTAAATAAATATAGAAACTTCAAAGTATTACAGCAAAAAGAATTACTGGGCCAAATTATCAAGCAGGGAAAGTTGTTAATACTTTTAGGTGGCTTATAAATTCTTGAGGAGGTGGGGCATTTGTATTGCAGCTCAATTATGAGGTTCTATTATTTTAGTTAATCACATTTCTAATTAAAAAAATAGACATATTACAGAAATTTTGGAAAACACAAAAGAGTAGAAGAAAACTTTAAAATCACTTATACTCACCAAGCAGAGACGCCCTTACAGTGTTACAATGCTTATGTGAAAGTATTTTTCTATGTAATTCTGTACATACCATTTTGCAACCTGGTTTTTTTAACTTAATAAATCGAACATTACCCCACTTCATTAAGAACTCTACTGCAGGCGGTTCATCTTGAAATTACATCTAAAATGGGTTTGCATAGGTACATTTTGAAAAAGAAAATGAATTCAATTAGAAAGCAAAAATGAAAGGAGAGGTACTGTTAAAAATACTGTAGCAGGCTCAACACTGGCAAAGATACAGCGAGATGGGCACTCTCACATACTGCTGGAAATCGGTACATGCTCTGGACAGTAATTTGCCTTATTTATCAAAGGGCTTTCAAAAAGTTTATATTCTCTGATGCAGTAATTTTACTTCTATTAATCTAGTCTAAAAAATTCAGACTCAAATGATTTATATACAATCACGCTCATTGTACAACTACTTAGAATAGCCCAAAATGTAAAACCACCTATGGAAAACAACAATTGAAAACGTTTAAACAAATTATAGTACATCCATATATAGGAATATTTCATAGCCACTCTTTCCAAAGAAATTTTAGTGGCCTGGGAAAAGGCTTATGTAAAATTATTAAGTGAAAAAAATGAAGGATACAAAATTATGTGAATTATGATCCCAATTACGTTTATAACACATTCTTTGAAAATAGGTGGAAGTAAATATAGCAAATGCTGAGTGGCCATCTCTGGCTGGTTGGTTTTCTTCATCATAATTTCTTGTATTTTCTGATTTTTCTACAATGGGCAAAAATATTTTTATATACAAAAAATTATTTTAAAAACATTGGGAATACTCTTCCAAATGTCTTTAATCCTCATCTCTCAGTTGATTGAGAATGGGAAGGAAATCAAATGTCCAAAATATATCAAAAAGTGTTTAGGCTGGTTATAAATTCAAATCTTCCCAAAGTGTAATCAGTTAACTACAGCAACTTAGGATGGATATATTTTTTTTTTAAGTGAGAAAAAATTTATTCTTTTATTTTGTCAGTTTCTCTCAAGGAAGAAAAGAAAGAGGAAGACATACCAATAAAAATGTTTTTAGAGAGTGGAAAATTCTTTTCAAGATTAGGAGTAGGAATTTTTCTCAATTAGAATTTTTGGGATCTATTTAATGCAGCATTCATATACAAGCAGAAATACCTGCTTGTATATGAAATTCTGGTGAGATACAAACAAAATAGCAAAAATTATCCATAATAAAACTAAATATAAAATTTATATCTGCTTGTGTACCTATGAACACAAAACAGGAAAGTAACTGCTATCTTTAAGTCTACTGCGCTATATTCCAACTCCTGAAATAATTCTTTTCTCCTGAACTCCTATGAGACTTAAGATATAATATTCATTTTGGCTCTTATCATTTTACTCCCCTGTATGGATAATTTTCTTTATAAATATATAGATTTTATCCATAAATTGCTTCTAGACTGAGTTTTTTGGAAGACTAACACTGTGCCTTACAAAGTAGTGCTCAATAAATCTGTTGATTTTAAGCTTACCTTGTTATTGAAGATTTTAATATCTTATGACATTTTTTCTCATTCATGTTTCTAATACCTACAGATTTAACATAATTATCATCAAGTATGTCTAAAAATATTTAAACAGTCTGAGCTGGGATTTGGAAAGGTAACATTGAGGCAACAATCCAGCTGCAGGGGAATCATAACGATTTTTCTTTGACTTTTGCTCCTCTATTCAGTTTGTTACCGAGCAGACCTAGTACACCTCAATAGTCAATTACCTCTTCTAAATGCGGAGACTGGAAGAAGAGGCCCCATCCTATTACAGACATTTGCATGTCATCTTTATAGTATGGTTAGAAGCTATATTAACTTTTAAAAACAATTTTTAACCACAATAATATATATTTAGGATGTACAGCATGATGTTTTAATACACATATACATAGTGAAATGATTACTACAATTAAGCTAACTAACATATCCACCTCTTCACAAGTTAGCACTTTTTTGTGCCTGAGGTGAAAGCACCGGAAATCTACTCTTAGCAAATTTCCAGTATACAGTATAGTATTACTAACTATAGTCATCCTGCTGTACATCAGATCTCTAGACTTATTTACCCTACATAACTGCCACTTGGTACCCTATGACCAGTATCTCCCCATTTCCCCCACCTAGTAACCACCATTCTACTGTCTGTGAAGCTATACTATGTCATGGTTAAGTTGTGCCACATAAGCAGAGTCTCAAGGAGCTGACCATAGATGAAAGAGGAACTAAGCCACGCATGAGAGGAGACAAAAGGAACTGAAAGGACTATGACTGCGCTAAAGTCCTGCAGGACCCAGAGGCTGGGACATACCTGCTCTTCAGTCAACTGAACTAGGCCAGGACTGAAATTCAGTTTGCAAAAGGAAGAAGTCTTAAGGAACAAAAGGAAAAATACTGCCTTCTCAGTAGTTACGGGGGAAGCTTAGGGAAAACTCCACTAAGAACACAGATAGATACAAGGTAAAACTAAAATGAGATTGCCAACTTTTAGGATAGGCAGAAAGAGAAGGCTCTTGGGGAAAAGCTGGAATCTGATGGCTAGACAGAAGCATACAGAGGTAAGGCAGGAAGGGCTAAGACTTAGCTTTGCCCAGCTTAACTGCCGTGTCTCTACTATGCATGTCAGTAACTGACCACCAGTGTATATGTACAAATTCTCATAGCCAAGCAGTTACTACTCTCAAGATGCCTGCTCCAAGAAAATGGCTACCAACATACAGAGAATGCAAAAGAGGTTCAAAAAGAGGTCATATTCTTCAGTCTGCAGGCAAAGAAAAAATGCTAAAAAGCACCTGGAGTTGGGAACAGGGTACCTAGGCTATTTTCACAGGAGACACAAGACAAAAATAAAGTGAGAGCAGTTCACCTTACACTGGTATTTGTTTTTTTGTTGTTTTTAATAACAGATAACACTACCTCTAGTAAAAACTAGAAAGCAGGACAGAGCAGCTGGGGCAAGTTTTCAGAGCTGCCTAAAAAATCCTCCTAACTCCAGGTTCATTGCTTTATTTATAGTAACACCTCACATGGCTAACACAGTTAGAAAACAGAGTGACCTCTGAATTACCTGGTTAACCGACAGTTGTCCACTTTCTTTGTTAAAAATTCCTAAAAAGAATACCACTGCACAGGAGGGTAGAACATAAACTCGTAACTGTTTCTGGTCTATCTTATAGCTACAATTTTAAAAATACAGCATTATCAAGAAGGTCTCATAAAAACACAAACTTAATATTAAGATTTATATAATAAAATAATTAGGTCTAAATGGAAAGCTAGAAAGCAAAAACGAAATCTGAAAGGTGTCAAAGTCATTGAAAAGTAACAAACCTGACAGATTAGGATCTTAAATTCCAAGTATTTCTAAAAAACAGGGCCACTGAAAAGTAGTTTTTACTAGAATAAGAGACTAAACCTAGGCAGTTACTGAATCATTTCAGAAGTCTTTTGGAAATGGGAGGGCAATGAACTAAGTAAGCCTATCAAGTTTTA